CTTTTTGGCTGGTTCTTTTGGTGGTTTCCTTTACAAGTCCTTTAGGTTTCCTTTCCTTTCATTGTCCTTTCAATTTCCTTTCCTTTCATGTTCCTTTCATGTCTTTTCCTTTCCTTTCATTGTCCTTTCCTTTCCTTTCCTTTCCTTTCATTGTCCTTTCAATTTCCTTTCCTTTCCTTTCATTGTCCTTTCCTTTCCTTTCATTGTCCTTTCCTTTCCTTTCCTTTCCTTTCCTTTCCTATTCAAATCAAGATTTTCTAAGATTTTTTCTGGAAATCACATTATTTGGGGCCCACACTTGATCAAGGGGGGGGGTTATTAATAAGAGGCCCACATTACTCCCTTTTTGACAGTCTCTATCACTATACTCCTTGGACCTTTTCCGCCCGTACGCCGGTCACTGACATCGAATATGCAGACGACACTGTTTTGATGGCCCGTACGCAGCTCACCCTTCATCGATTGCTCCACGCCTTGCAGCACGAAGCCTGCAAACGAGGCCTTTTCCTCAACCCAAATAAGTGCCAACTCCTTTGCCTCCACTCTACTCTCCCGATCCACTTGTCTCCTTGCGTTGACCCTAGCGCCCCTGGTCCTTGCTCTCACTGCACAGGCAACATGCCTTTTGGCCCGCCGCTCCCCCCACTCAATTCCGCCAAATACCTTGGGGCATTTATCTCTGCCAACGGTTCTTCTTTCGCCGATTGTAACTTTCGGTATTCCCAGGCCTCTGGCGCTTTCCGATCTCTTTTCCCGGTTTTCACAAACTCCACCCTCCCTGTCCGGCGGCGTTTGCAAATCTACTCGCAGACGGCTGTTTTTGGTTCCGCCCTTGAAGATCATAACGACCCGGGCCAGCTTCCAGTGGTCAGGAGCGGAAGCAGAAAGGAAACAGGCGTTGAAGTATTCGAGAAGAAGGCGTCTGACACCGTCAGGGAGGAGCTTGTAAAGATCAGCGCTAACCTGATCAGGGCCAGGGGCTTTACGGGGCTTGAGGCGGCGGAGGGCAAAATGCATGTCAACCATGGTGAAGGGTGGCAAATGACGCTTCTAAACAGAGGAACAGTGGGGCCACGGAGGCGGGCGGGCTGGCAGTGTGCTGCCAAACTTCGGTTTTTAAATGGTGCGCCATTACTTCGGGCGTTTCTGCGGCGCTGCTGGGGCGGCCGGAAGGCCAGCAGACTGACTGGGTGAGGGGTTGGTATTTGCCGCGAACTCGTTTGATGGTTTTCCAGCGTTCAGCTGGGGGTGAGCGGTGGTCGAGATCCAACTGGCGTAGGGTCCAACGCTTTTTGTCCCGGGCAGCGTGGGAACGTATCTGCCGTCTGAGGGTCGCAACATCCGTGGAAGTGAGCGTCCTGCTATTGAGATGTAAAATTTCTTGCTGCGTGGAGGGAGATAAATAAGGTCTTCGGATGGAGGCGGGCTTTCGGGAAAAGGAGAGATCAGCTGCGCGGGAGAGAGTGCTCACCAGGAGATTGGTTTGTGTGGCGAGAGTGAGAGAGGAGAACCACTGTGACAGACCTGGGGGGCCATTTGATCACCAATTTCGTGATCGATGGTCGTTTGGCCAAATGGCCGTGAAAAAAGGAAATGGCCATGAAATCCGGTGTGGCCGTGAAAAAACCCTCCCACCCACCCAACCACCCGCCCAAACCCATTTGCCTTTAGTTCATGCGTTGGCGTGGCAGCTGAATCGTGGCAACTGTACAGTGTAGTGGCCAAACAGCTTGCTAAGCTTTTCTGGTCACAGTTAGGATTTTTCACAAGTCATTTATACTCTCAACAGCGTGGGTTCTAGGCATGCCTGGCTCTGGTGCCAGATGGGCAGGGCTCTAGGTTCACCTCGTTAAAAACAATGTCATATATGTGTTTTGGGCAAATAAGACCTAACCCAAAAGAACAGCGTAAAGCGCAAAAAAAATGTTTCCGATAGGCCCATATGGGCACACCTGTTGTGGATGTGATCACTTGTGAAAACAATCGGTGGTGATAGGGAGAAAGAAGGAAACGTACAAAAAGACAACACCAAAACCTTCGCGCGTTCGTGACGCTCTAGAGTGTTTTCGGATTTCGCGCGAGTTGTGGAGGGTGGGCCACTTGCTTCATGAACGCCGCTTCAATCACAGGTCTCGCGTCAGTTAAGAAGGGTTCACGCACGCATACTTCGCAAACTCATGCGATGTGTCAATCTAGGCTTGATTCTAGTTATAATTTGTGTTCCAACTGTTGCTCACCAAAGTGTTGTAGTGGCAACTCTTGTTCACCAACTCACCAACAAAAAAACATATACCACATATAGGTGTATATAGCGAAGCCCTTTTCACCGCCTTTGTCCAGCTGATGGCACTCCTGAAAGGAGAACGCTGCCGGCCATGCTGGTCCAGTTCTCCCATTAGATGTTAAGTGGGTTGCAGGTTTCATTGCGTGAATCATCAACCTAGCTAAAAAGCGCTAGTTTAATCAAAAGAAAATTGTGTACATGCACCCATCCACAAACCAACGCAAAACCAACCTACCTTGTTTCGTACGCTGTTCGCAGGCCGTGAAAGCCTCAAACTGGGTTGGACTGGACACATGGTCGCACTGCCTCGCTTTCCCGCCGTGGAGATTCAATGGTTGGCTGATGCGCGTGTCTGAACTGGCAGGGTCAATATCAGACATATAACTCTTATATATTCCAGTGGACTCTATTAAAACTATTGTCCCTGCACTGAGTGAACAAAGAAATGGGACAAAGGATTCTCAATTCCACCGGCGGTGACTTCCATATGTGGCCTGCATTGATCACTAACTGCAAGGTAGGCTTCATCCGTGATCTATTGGGCTTCACGGCTTCACATTCTTTGGGATGCATGGCGCCCCTAACTCCAAAACAATGAAGAATTTGCACCAAGTCTTGTTTAGAAGGTTTTTTCTCCATGTAAGAGGAAGCATGCGTGCCCACGCCAGAGCCGCCGAGCCAGGCGTTCTACTCACGGATCGGTGCGCAGCCTCGCGATCGCTTTGCCAGCGATGATGTTGATTGAGGGTTCAGGTGAATTAGGATCTGTGTGAAATGCAGTGCGCTCCAGAACTTTTTGGATTTGTGTATATCCGTGTGAAGTGCAAACAAACTTCCTCAGAATTGGTGTGGCCGTTTGAAGCCAGTTTCGGCTCCTACCCAAGTTCTGCTCGCGACAGTTTCTTGCACTGGAGAGATGTCGGACGCTTCTCTTTCTTCTGGAGAATCTGATGAGGGGCCCTGTGTTGAGCAGGATCCGGGTCCATGGGTGGAAGCCTTCAAGAAGTCAAAAGCTCTTAGAAATGTTGCTGGGCCGGATTCACAGATTGAATTGCAAGTTGAAAGTAAACTCGGGTAAACAAAAAGCTGTCAAAACAAGTCGTAGCAATTCGTGCGTGAGGTGGGGATGACTCTGGTGGTAGACCATAGTGGCCGCTTGCACACCAAGCACAAATGCACCATGAAAGATCTGATCGCCAACTCTGAGGCGTGGTCCAAAAACATGTTGGCTTTCCAGCAGAGTATGCGTGATTACTTTTCGCCAATGCCCTCTTTAACCGTTTTGGTGGCAGGTTATCCTGGTTGGGGTGGAGGGCCTATGTGGGAAAGCTCGTTTGAGTGTCTACACCATGCAGAAGGCAATACTCCAGTTCTACAGCCAATGCAAACTCTTTCCATCAGGTGTGGTAAGTGAAATCCCGGCTGTCCAAGATTGGGCCATGAAGATGTCCATAGCCATCGCAAAGATGGTGACTCTCCACATCGTGTATTGTCATGGTCACTTGTTTCTTCTTCTTGGGCTGCGCAGCTATAGTGTGCCTTAATGGCTCGAGGTCATATGCCAATCACCCAAACATACCTGTTGTGAATCCAAGGTATCGAGATTGCGGAGGCTGATGAAACGGTCATCGGGTTCGAAGCACAAGAAGTTGACAGATTTGAAGACGGCAGCTCATGTCAGGGGTTGGGATCACGTTTGGCCTGATGTGAAGTCGAACACGAACAAAACCACCCGAGTGGTCACTGAGACCGCACAAGTTGTTGACGTGAAGGAAATAGTAGTCAGATGTGCTCTTCACGCGTTTGTCTCCGTCACCCCGTCTTCCCTATTTTTACAAGTAGTGCCGGTTCCATGCCCAGGCGAAGAACCTTGGTGACGGCTGCGGTGACCCAGCCGGCCTTCTCGAGTTGTCAGCGGCATCCACCAGCGCGAGCGGTCCTAGCAGTGATGTGTCTTCTTCTCTCCCTCGAGTCTCACGACTAGCTCGGCCAGTTCAGCTAGCTACAGCAGTAAGGTGAGCAGGTTGGTGGAACAGTTGAAGAATGCCCAGGCCCTGAAGTTAGGGAAAGGAAATTTCCCGCCGTCAGCAACAGGGTCAGTTGCTGAAATCCCCACGCCAGTACGTTCTGATGAACCGGCACCCTCTTTAACCATGGACAAGGACAAGGTGAACGCAGTGATCCAACAATTGAAGGCCACCAAGAAAATCCCAGCTTCAGCTTCGATTGAAGCTATGGGCAATGAGGATGGGAATCAACCACGAAAAATGATTCAGAACCCACACCTTCTTTCTCCATATGTTGCTTGCATGTATATTAAAATTGTCATTTTTTTGGTGGCAAGTGGGAAAAAACACGTGAATTAGAGTAGTTTTGTTCATCTCAGGTTCTGGATGCATTGAGCAGTCGAGCGGCTATGCCACATAAACCTTTTCCCCTTCATGCTCAATATATTCCTGCTGTCCAGAAAGCCCGCGAGGAGGCTGGTGAACAGGATGCGAAGGGCGATTTGCCTGGGGCCAGTGATCAAGAAACGGAACACCCTGCCAAAACGAGAGCTGGGGAAAAGGGGCCTGAGTGTCTCGATCAACCGGATGCCCCCAAATGGGAATATGGAAAGAAGAAAACCGAGTTTGTGAAAAGGAAACGTGCTGATGGCTTGAGCTATATTGAAGCCATTGCGGTGTGGGACGATTCATATGAGAAGGCGGAACTTTTGGGGCCCGTTCCACTCGCAGAGCTAAAGAAGCGTAGGTTCCTTAACAAAGATTGTTTGGAGAACCCTTGGCAAAAAAGCTTGAGGGTTCCAAGGGGTCTTGAATGAACATGGCTGCAAACCGCTGTGTTCTCCGTTGGAGCATCTGCGCCGAGCTTGGGCGGGGAGCCCATGCTGGAAAGGTGATGGGAAAACAAGCTGAGGACGTGTGGAAGTCGGGATCTCCAGTTCAATTTGGTCATGCGCAATCGAGATGTTGTCGGTGGAAACAATACCGTGAAAGGAAATCTTTGGCGGCGACCCTTTATTCATCTTAAGGCTTCAAGAGAATAGAAAAAAGGGTGCTGCCGCAAGATTGTCTTTCATGGTCTGGCCTTTTTTGGAACACTCCTCATTCCAGATTTGGCCCAAGCCATTGGGGTTGCGCGCTCAAGGGGCCGGTGTGATTTTTTTGGGGGGCCCTGAAATGGATATCCCAACATTGATTCGAGGGCAAGCTCCAACCATTTTGGTTGCGCTTTGCCTGCTTATTCGGTGCATTCAAAAATTCCGCACTCGGTTGACCTTTGGTGGTGGTTTGGCACAAGTTTCTTTTTAGTTGGGACTATTTGTGGGGATGTGGGTGCTGACTCTGAATTCGTCCAAGTTCTACACGCTAAGGATCGCAACTTCTTGGAACTATATGCTGGTCGCGCTGAGGTAACGAAAGCTCTTCGAGCAGCCGCTTAGCTCTACCAGGAAAAAAGAGACCCTCAAGTCCCTCAAGCAACCATGGGCCCTTCTTGCCAGTTCTCCACCCCTTCCTCCACGTATCTCGCCTCCAACGGCTGATGCGCTCCTCCAATCCAGTTGATCCAAGGCTGGCCTCAAAGGAGCCGCCGTTGACATTGACCACAACCAGGTTTGGGATCTTCTACGACTAGGTGCTTTTGCGCTGCCTGGTACAAAAACAGTGGTAGTGGATGGAGCCATCCAAATCGTGTTGTTGGCCCTGGGCTAGTCATCAATGAGCTTCTTCGATGCGTTCCTGGATCTTTGGTTGTTTTGGCACCTTGCTGTAAATCCTTTTCACGCATGAACCTTGGTTCAAAGTTCAAAAGACAAGACATGCGTGGAAAAAGGGAGAACCCTTGGCAATGTTGAAATCTTCTTTCTGTTGGGGCGGTGATCCAATGAACCGGCCCAGGACTCGCCACACCGCGGGCAGGTGTGTCTTCGTGCCTTATGGATATGAAGGGTCTGAATTTGTATCTCAAGGAAATGTTTTGGCAGTAAGGGCCATACTCCTTTGTGTGCTGGCCAGCTTTTTGGGCCTACGATGGCTGTTGGAGCAGCCTTCTGGTTCATCCTTTGAAGATTTACCTGAATTCCAGCTACTTTTACGTGTGGCGGAAGTCATTTGGTAAACACTTCAACTATTGTTTTTGTTGAGTCTTGTTCTTCACCACCTTTTTAGAGGCTCCGTTTTTGGCACGCTACCAACTCGAAGCTACTTACGTACCACCCGGCGTGAAGAATGTATTTGACCAGGTCTACTCCGGGAGGTTTTGGATGGGGGTCTTCAACGCGGAGACGCCCAAACCCCATGTCTTGTTCTCCAACGACTCGGGGTTTGTGGATGCAATCTGTGCCAAAGCAGGGTACATGAGCCGTGAACAACAGCAGCGCTGCCGTGGACAAACTACTATCAAGTACACTGATAGAAAAGGAGTTCGGAGGTGTGTGGGGATCAAATCCGCCCTACGTGATTCACAGCGCCTTGAACCGATCTGTGAACATTTTGGTGCAACTTCACCCCTCTCTTAAAGGACTAGTCCCTGCCCGCTCACCAACCGACCCAGACCTCCCAACCTGGGAGGTTGCCAACCATGGTAGCTCGTAGCCTAGGTTTCGTGTGTGATTGAGGCACTACACGAGAGAGTTTGGGCTCTTCATTGCTGAGTTGGCAACCACCAGACAAGCAGTGGCTTGTTTGAAGACCAAAGGACCAGAAATGGCCATCGCTAGTAGGCTGCAGGCCATCACTATAGTAGGTTGGAGGCCATGGCTAGTAGGTTGGATGCCATCGCTCTTACCACAAGACCTAACCCCCAAATTGTAAAACATGCATATGTGGTAAGGTGCCTCTCCCTGCGCCCAAAGTCCAAATCAAATTGCCTCCTGGGCTATCTGACCGTGAGCTCTTCGTGAAGTTCTGCCTCCCATTGGCAAACAAGTGGGAACGGGCTGCTTGAGCTTGCCAAGCATGAAAATTTTTACTTGTTTGTACCTAGGTACAAGTTAGATGTGGAAACATGTCTACAACCATCCTGCTTTGCTGGCTCAGGGGAACACCATGGACGTGGTCCGCTATCTTTTCCACTGCAAGCATGCGGTGATTCCAAGTTCATGGGAACCTTGCCACCGAGTTGTTTTCTTTTTTGTTTCAAACTTGTTTCCACTCAGGCTCCCCCCCTCAAATTCACCCTGGGGCCCTGGATGTTCACGCATTCCCAAATCCGATCCACTCAACGCGTGATCGGCCTACTCCGACCGGCCTTCAGGAAGACATCATGAGGGAAATCGCGGCCTGAGGGGCCAACACTTGGATGAGTGGCTTTTTTTTTGCCACATTGGCATTTCTAGAAATTAAGCCATAGAAGCGTGGGCCTATGCAAGGACCATGCCTTGAATCTGTGTTTCTTGGGGGAAAACCTGCCCTGGCTGGTACTTCTGCTTTTGAACATGTTCAACACGAATTCACGGAACAACACATTTTGGAAACGGATGGAAAGTCTAGAGCGTGAAGTAGTGTGCAAATGGACGTGAAAAACCGCTGAATGGCCATGAAAAAACGTGAAAACGTGAAATAAAAATTCTATCTGTTCATAGTTTTTCTCTTAGGGTTCACGGATGTTCACGGTATGATTTGCGCGTGGTTTGCCGCAACCAGCGTTTTGTTTCAAATTTTCCTGTTTTGCGTTATAGTGCCTGTCGAAGACCCAGCTCTTGACGTGATGCCTTCGAACGCTAGTGGCGCCGCTGCTTCTCCTTCGGTCCCAGACTTTGAGGTGAGTTGGGAGAATTTCTCCAAGGTCAAGGACTTCTTCGGGTTGACTGACCAGGAGACTCAGCAAGTCCTGCTTGGTATGATTGGGCCGAATTTGGATGAGCTTGAGAAGGGTGCGGAGAAGCGTCCTTCCAGCTCAACTACTGAGTCAGCCAAAAAGAAGGAGAAAGTCGGTCAGGCAGTGGAGAACCCAAACAAGGCAGCCACGAAGGCTGCTGCTAAGGCGACCGCTGCAGCGAAGCCGGCTGCAAAGCCGGCTAAAAAGCCGGCTGCAGCGAAGCCGGCCGAAGTTGAGCAGAAGCCGGTGGAGTTTGACTTGGATGATGAGGAAGCCGACACTGATGTTGAGATGTCTGTCCACAGTGGCGGCGATGATCCGGAGTCTCCAACCCCGCCAGCCTCTGTTGCTGTGCATGAGACAAAAGAGGTCGTGTGCGAAGCCCCTGAACAGCCTGAGCCTGTCGTGGTTCCTGTTCTCAAGCATGATGATCCGAGTGCAGAAGCTGCTCGAGATTTTGATGCTGCGCTGGAGGCTGAGCTAAGTGCTGAGATTGCAAAGGTCCCTACACCAAACCGCGCGAAGGCTTGGTGCCAATAATCGTTTATGAAATCTTACCAAGGTATATTTTTCAAGTTCAAGCTCATTTCTTTAGCATTCAAAATGTGTTCCCTGTCCAGGTGCCTGACGAGACTGCTAGGCGGCTGCAGCTCGAGGACTCCCAACTCGACCGGCTGGAGTGTCTTGACAGATCTTGATGACATGTTTGAAGTTTTCATGTTTTTTTTGGCGAGAGTTAGGCTGCTTAGTGCTTCACGTTGCTTTGGGCTTTCACCCTGACGCAGGTCCTGTCCTACTTTGCTCCTGGGCCAGGAGGATTTGTCCCGGCAGGCTTCGCAAGTGGATCTCAAGGCGGACGCTGACTCTGAAGCACCATCTACGTTCCCTGAATATACCCAAACAATTTTTGCTGGTTAGTGAGGGTTATTTGGCGCGTGTTGTCAATATCACCGATGTTAATTTCATGAAGTTTGCGAAGTTCTTTGGCCAGGGTGGGGCCTTCTGCTTCCGCTGTGGCTGGTGGTGGTTGTGGTGAGAAAATGGCCAAGCTGGTTGAGGCACTCAGCTTTGTGCAGTCAGTGCAGCGTGAAGAGTGGGCACGAGTGGTGGCAATGAAGCTTTTCCCAGACTTGATCGACAAAGGTAATGCTGAGATCAAGGAATGGAGTGATGCGAAGGCTGGGAAGCCTGCTCCAGCAAGGCCAAGCAGGCAAGCCTCTATGTCTGAAGCAGCGCCTGCATTGTCGATTGCAGGGGGGAAGTCTGCAGGGATGACCGCATCTCCTACACCACCGCCAACTCCAGCGAGCACGCCGGCGAGCATTCCCACAACTGCGGTGACTCCAGTGGATCCTGCTGTCGCTCCTCCTGTGGTACCAGAGGGATCTGAAGCCCCGGCAGAGACAGCGATCAACTCATTGACCCATCGTGCAGAGTATGCTCGACTTACTCGCAAAATGGCTTCTGTGGATGAGGCGGACTTTCCGCAGATCGCCAAATTGTGGAAGGGCTCCCGTAAGGAGATGTGTTGACGCCAATAAAATCAACTTTGTGTCTTTAGTAGGGGGCATCTGCAAGTGTTCCATGTGTGTTTGAGTTGGGCTCACGCAATGTAATCTTCAATGCCCCTGCAGGAGAAGCAGGAAGTGCTGAAGCAGTGGGTTGCGTCTGGTGAAAACCTCAAAGTCATGGAGACTAAGCTAGTGATCTCAAGGTCGCAAGAAGGGACCCTCACCAAAGGAGGCCCTTACGATCAAGGAGATGAAACAGCGCGGCTTCAGCCAGAAACTGGCCTTGATCAGAGGCATCGCTTTCTTGATTTTGTTTTGTCATGTGGAAAAAAGAGAATCGACGTAGATTGAAGACCTGAAGAGTTACCTAGGCAAAAGATTGAAGCCCTGGTGAAGCGGGGTGGTGAGCCGGATCCTGACTGCCCAGACGGAGAGCATGCGCTTCTGGCGCACTGTGGGCTCATCCTACCAGGACCAGGAGAAATGCAAGGTGGGAGTGAAATCCAGCGCTGATATCAAGACCACTGCCGACGTGGTAGGAGGGCTTCTTGGCTCAGATGGCGTTGGCATGGGCGATGGGGCTGTGCAAGCGGCAGTGGCGGCTGGTGGTGGACCAAGCCTCACTGCTTTGGTGGGCGTGATGGATAGCGCTGGTGCCAATATGGATTCCAGGCCGGCCGCGAAGGGAAAGGCCAAAGCGAAGGCCAAGTCCGGTGTCAAAAAGGAAGCCAAGACGCCAGAAGAGCAACGTTTGGCTGCGAGTTCTTTGGCTGGGTTGCGAAAAAATGCTTTTTGTTTTTGGGTCACTGTCCACTTTGGAGGTAACTAGTGCAAGTGGGTGTGTACAATTTTCTGACCTCAAGGTTTGGCATGTCCACAAAAACATATGTCTTGTTTTTGGGGTCTGCCCGTTTTTTCTGAGGAAACCAATGCAAGAGGGAGATCTCAGCGTGTGGAACTCTTGTGCTTGATCTCCCAAGAGACCATGCCCTTCGTGGTGAACTCAACACGTTGAAGGATGAATTTGAGAGCCTGATCGAGGAGCCACTCGCCTATACTCCAATTAATATTCCTTGTATATATATATATACACATATGTTTTTTGGGGGTTGATATGCCCTGCCAAAAAAAGCCTGACACCAAAACCCAACTCAGGTTGGTCAATTGCGCGGATGAATCGATTGAAGAGGTCTACCAGCGTTGCGCTGCACAGGATGGGAACAACATGTTAACGAACCAGTTCTTGTTGCACATGACATGCGTGCCTCTTCCTTCCTGTCATCATCTCCCACCGCCAGGTCCAAAAAACCAGGATGGTGCGGGCACAGGCCCGGGCAGTTGCGTCTGAGCTGAAGAAGGCTGAGGCAGCCTCGAAGTGACGGAGCCGCGGCATAGATTTTGAGTGCTTTTGGGGTGGACTCTCATGAAGTCCTGTGGGTTTTGGGCAAATGGAGTTGTGTTTCTTCGCCAAACCGATTCGCCAAACAAGTTCTTTGAAGTATAGGCTTATCCTCCTGTCACTCCAAGTGTCCATGGATAGCCCAGCACTTATTCTAGATTCTAGGGGTTGTCCAGTACCCTCTTCGTAACAGGTTGAGTGGAGATGGACACACTTTTGAGCGAAAACAATTGAAGCGGGGTGGAACCATTACCGCCAAGTCGTGCGCGCTCTATGGAAAAGATCCTGTCAACTGCTTTTTTGGTGCGCAGTCCCAACTTAGTCAAAGGCTTAGTCAATGCTTCCCGCACCAATCCCTTCGCAGGTTCATGGAGACAGTCTTTGCCTGAGAACCGTCTAGCAGAAAGACTTGACCAAATGTTTCTTCGCTGGATAGTTCGTACAAAAAAACAGTTCCATTTAGCAACCACCAAAAATAAGGCTGGCCAACAGCATTGGCTGTGGCTATTCTAATGTTCAACATGCCCGTCAAATTGCAGAAGTCTATGATTCAGCCCTGATTGGGTGCCTCAGCCTATGAAGTCTTCTTTGATATTTTGCAAACTCAGATCGAACACGCGTTGACTTGCCAGCGTGTTCCCCCCCCACACTGTTTGTCTGTGCGCGCAAGGTCCAACCGAGAGAGGGGCCTGCATGAGCGCGCCATCAGTGCAGGTGTTTCGCTTCCATGTCCGGTCCTCTCTCTCATGTGACTCTCCCTATGTTGAGAAGTTGGGACTCTGATGAACACGAATTAGTGGAGTGGCCACTCTTGGCTCCTTTTGACTTTGTGCCTGTGTCGAATTGAACTTAACTTTTTTTGCGCTTTTCTTTTGCTCTCGACTGCTTCTCTTCTTTGGAGGTTGTGTTCGCTCCTTCTTGGGCAGGTGTCCACTTTGATCTCTGAAGGCTATCTGGATGCCTTGGTCGGGGACTTTGAAGATTTGGAACAATATTGGGAAGGCATGTTGGGTGACTTTCCAAGACATCCTGTTGCAGAGAAGAGAAACCGAAAGAGCTGCGTTGGCTGTACTCTTTACTGAGTCTTCGTTGGAAAGGTGAATTTTTCTATTATTATGTTGTTTGAGTATGACCCCAACAGGGTTTTGTGCTCTTTCACTCTTGTATGTGCTGAGGCGACGAGATTGAAAGCCTGAATGAGTCGTGGATGTTCGTGCTTTGGTCCAGCGACGTTTCTCCATACCGGACTGACTCTGTCAGCTCGCGCTTTCCAATTGCCATAATCCCGGCCAGCCTCTATGTCATCAACGATGAAGGAGTTAATGTGACACTCCAGTCTATGACAAAGGCGGTAACATCAAGCTTTAACAAGCTATCGACGCATGGTGTCAAA